AGTCAAAACCTACATTTCTTCTGGTTGAAGTTAAACTATGCAAAATAGCTCTGTTCCACTCTGAAAGTTCATCTTGACCCTCTTCTGCTTCTCTGATTATGCATTTTCTTTTCAAATAAGATTAATTTAAAAGTCAGTCAGACTGTGCATCAGAAATAATTTTTATAGGGGTTTTTTTGGTACCATCATGTGAACCCCACACCTTGGTCACTGTGAATGAAATCATCTCAGGTGCAGAAGTTCATTTAAGTACAAGGTAAATCTCAGGCAGAATGTAGGCTTTATGAAGCTGTATTGCATAGGGTGAATTTCAATCCAAACACCAGCTGTCCTTCCCAGCAGGCTGCGCAGAGGCTGTGTTTTCCAGGGGTTTGTGCTTCAGAGAGACATAATCTCACCTCACTAGTCCTGGTGATCCCAGCCTAGTGATCCCTGACCTGCCACTCTGGAGTCATTTGTGTCTCTTAAGATGTGTTGAGAGTGTAGCCTGCATGTTATTATGGTACAAGCACTATAATACCTCTTTTTAAAGAGATACGTAGGGCAGCAAGGGTGCTTTTGCATCTATACGTATAACCTACATCCGTTACCTGAAGCCTGGTATCTGTCACTCATATTTACCCTGCTGGTGGCCCAAATACTACCTATAAATCCAACTTGCCCTTACCACAGGTGATGTTGAAAGTCCTCCAGGAGATACCCTAAGCAGTCACAGCTACCTGACTTTAGTGATGTGAATGATACAACAGGCAGATGGAGTAGATGGAGGTGGCCACATTGGGCCCTAAATACTAAGGATTGTACAGCAAGTAAGCACGAACTGAATGAACTCTAAAGCTTTTGGTACCCACAGGGTTTCCCTAACCTCCTTATAGATTACCAGCTGAGTTGCATGAAGAGTCCAGTTAGAGTGTGCCGCTGGACCCTCACTTTGGGGTTCCTTCTGTAGAGAAGCCTCAGCTTTGGTGTTCCTTCTAGAGAGAGGTGCAGACATACTCTTTGTGCTCTCTTCACTAGGGCACAAAACTAATCAGTTTGTGTTTTCTGCTCTGCTCTTCCTATTCCTCCACAAAGGAAAGGCCAGACTGAACCGTGGTGCCCACAAACAACTGGATTAATAGAGAGGATGAAATCATCGTCCTAAATCTTTATCAGCTTGGTGCTTGAGTTTCCTAGGGATGTGTGGATTTCAAGCCCATCTGTACTGTTCTGAGCCAGGCGTTGTGCAAGAGTGCAGAATATCTCTCTCATTAGTCTGTTTTTCATGGAATCAAAAGAATTAAAGGATGATAGGGATAGAACACCATCACCCAGGGTCTGACTGGCATGATATCTGCAGGAGAAAAGTGACTTTGATAAGCTCTGAATAGTTCAGGAATGTGTTAGCAAAGTAGTAAAGAAGGGAGAAAGAGCTGACGTAACTCACAAGAGTTTCAAAACCTTTTATGAGATGCAGTATATGGGACCACAGAGGAAGTTGTGTAATCATGTGTTCAGGGCAGAGCATTGCCATGGATCAAGATCCAGTCAAGAGACAGGACATCAAGAGGAGGATTAAGGTCTAGTTCCGTTATGACAGAAGCTTAACAGGTTGATGCCTCAAGGTTTTACTGCTTTGGGGATGAATCACGAACTGGAAGGATTTATGGATGGCAGGTAAGCAGTGAGCAGGGGCGGATGTGTGGAATCAAACTATATGAATGAACAGCACCACATCATTAAGTAAAGCATTTTTCAGGGAATAATATTAAAGAGCTTGCATGTCTTACGAGGGTTTAAATCAATTCTGACAATTCAGAAAAGGGTTTGAGCATTATGGACAAAAAAAATGCAGATGTCAAACCAATGGACTTGAGTTTTGAGGTTACTTGCTCATCTAAAAACATCTCGTGTGAAACTCCATTAGGTACGAATGTAAATTGGTATGTTTTGGTGCTTGAATATTACTGAAAAATCTAGCCAAGACTGCAATTCCAGTCAAAAACGAAAGCAAATGGGCAAGAGAATTAGTCAGAAAATAACAGAAATACTGCCCTGACGTGTAAGTTAGTGCTAGGACATGATTTGAAATACCTGGGTCTCAGCTGGTCACAGCTACACCAAAGAATGGATACAGAGAATCATAGAATGATAGACTCATAGAATGGTTTGGGTTGGAAAGGATCTTAAGATCATCCAGCTCCAACCCCTG